AGCACAGGAAGGCCAAGCCTCAGGAGCAGGGCCATTCCAGCTCTAGAGTGAAAGTCTTCTCAGACCAAGCCTAATAAAGCTTAAGGCAAGCCCTGAAAGGATCTGGTAAATTTAAGTGCCTGACAGAACACAAGTCAATACCCTTCACAGATCCCAAATCTTCTAGGCTACAATCAAAACACAGTGGACATGAAAATAAACAGAAATACTTAAGGATCATAAGCAGAAACACATGGCCCCCTTGCAAGGAGAAAAAGTCAATCAACAGACACAGGCCCAGAAATGATGGAGCTGATGGAATTAGTGGACAAGGACTTGAAAACAGGTACTGTGCATAAATTTAAGGATTTAAAGGCAAACATGAAGATGGGGGCGGGGGATGGAAGATTAAAAAACTAACAGCTGAAAAACGCAATATCTGAAATGAACATTTCACTGGATGGGTTAATAGCAGATTAGATGCTGAAATAAGAGCAACAGGAACTATCCAAACTGAAGCACAGAGAAAAGAGGCTTTTTTAAAAGCAAGCCGGGGAGCATAATGGGCACCATGAGCAATAAATCAAGCATGGAACTGGGAGGCCCAGAGTGAGAGGGGAAAGCAATAGAGAGAGGAGACAATGTTTGATGAAATAAAACTCACTTTTTCCCCAAATTTGATAGGAAGTATAAATTCATTGGTCCAAGAAGCTCAGGAATCCCAAGCAGAATAAACACTGAGTATATCACTCCAAAGCTCAGGTTAGACAAATTACTAAAAACCAGTGCGCAAGAGAAAAACCTTATGGACAGCCGAAGGGAAAAAACACTTGTTACAGATGGGGAACAACAGTAAGAAGGACCACGGTCACCACGTGACAGCCAATACAAGCTAGAGACAACATAACAACATCTTGACAGTGCTGAACAAAAAATAAAAATACCTAAAATTCTATATACAACAAAATTACACTTCTGAAATAAAGATATTTTCAGGGAAAAAAAATCAGGAAATAAAATGAGCACCATAAGAAATGTAAAAGCAAGTTCTCTAAATGAAGAAAGGTGATACCAAAGGACAATTGGATCTACACAAAGAAATGGAGAGCACCAGCAATGGTGCACTTCAAAGACTTCTCTTTTGTAAACTCCTCTAAAAGGCAACTGACTGGTTAAATTAATGGTTGGAAAATGATAGCCAATGGGCCATGTCTGACTTGCTTGTGATATGCAGTCTGAAAGCTATAATACTTTTCACATTATTTTAAATGATTAGAAAATTATCAAAAGAATATTCTGTGACACAGGAAGATTATATAAAATTCATGGGAATTGTGACATGGAAAAGGAAATCAGGCTTTACTGAGACACAGCCTCGCTCCTGTGATAGACAAAGACATGTCTACACTGCAGCAGGAGAGTGTGCTTGTTACACAGACTACAGGGGCCCTCAAAGCCTAAAATATTTGTTATCATCTGGCCCTTCACAGATAAAGTTTGCCAGCCCCAGGTTTAAAGTAAAAATAAGAATCCTATTCTGGGATTTAAAACATATGCATAATATCAAAAGATTACACGTATGTAACATTCTTGACATGACCAAACATGTATGTAACATTTTTACAAAAACCAAGGTACAGAGATCGAGGACAAACTAGTAGGGAACAGGGGACAGGGCCGGAGGGCAGGACACAAAGGGGCAGCATGAGAGAGCTCCTTCGTAAGGATGGACCAATTCTGTATCTTGACATCGAATAGAATACATAAAACTATACACACACACATAAATAAATGAGTGAATGTAGAAAATGATGAAGCTGATTAAGAGCCGTAATCTAGTTAATAAAACTGCACTAATGTGAATTTATGGCTCTGACACTGTACTTTATTACCCAAAACGTCGTTTGTGCGGGGGCCTGGGGCAAGGGTACAGGAAAGCCTATGGACTGTTTTTGCAACTCCCATGACTGTGTAATTCCTTCAAAATTAAAAATTTAAAAAATATACAACAATAGCAAAAATGATGGGAAAATGAAAGTTCGCAGCTACAATGCATCACACACAATGCGGTTATACTACTATTTGAAGGCAAACTGTGGTAACTTAAAGATGTACATTATTGGGCGCCTGGGTGGCTCAGTCGTTAAGCGTCTGCCTTCGGCTCAGGTCATGATCCCGGAGTCCCGGGATCGAGTCCCACATCGGGCTCCCTGCTTGGCGGGAAGCCTGCTTCTCCCTCTCCCACTCCCCCTGCTTGTGTTCCTGCTCTCGCTCTCTCTCTCTCTGTCAAATAAATAAAAAATTAAAAAAAAAAAATACTCTATGATCTGGCTTTAAAAAAAAAAAAAGATGTACATTATTAACCCTCAAGGAACCACTAAAAAAAAAAACAACACAGGTTAATCTAACAATCCAAAAGAGGACATAAAACAAAATACTAAGAATTATTCAGTTAGTCCAAAAGAAGTCAGAAAAGGAGAAAATAAGGGAAAAAAACAGAGCAAAGGGCAAAATGAAAGACTTAAACCCAATCATGTCAATAATTACATTGAATGTAAGTGATCTAAAGACTAATTAAAAGAAAGATTATCAGGGGCGTCTTGGTGGCTCAGCTGGTTAAGAGTCTACGACTCTTGATCTCAGCTCAGGTCTTGATCTCAGGGTAGTGAGTTCAAGCCCCACACTGGGGGCTTGGGAAAAATAATTAAATAATTAAATAAAAGGAAAAAAAAAAGAAAGATGGTCAAACTGGATACACTGCTTAAAAGAGATGTACATTAAGTATAAAGAAAAGGTTAAAAGTAAAAGGACAGAAAAAAGATACACAATGCAAACACTAATCTTAAGAAAACTGGAATGCATACGTTAGTGTCAGACAAAGCCCACTTCAAGACGAGGACTATCACCAGATTTTTTTTTAAAGGGATATTTCATAATATTAAAAGGGTCAATTCATTAAGAAACAGAACAATTCCCAGTGTATATGCACCTAACAGTGGAACTTCAAAAATATCTGAAGCAAAAACTAACAGAACTGAGGGAATAAATAAAAACATCCACAAGAGCACCTGCAGACTTAATACACTTCTCTCAAGAACTAATTACAAATCAAAAGGAAACTGGGAGAAGACTTGAACAGCCCTGTCAACCCCGCTGCCACGTTAGAACATCATTTTCAAGGACACACGGATCGTAAGCTAAGCCAAGCAAGCAACGCAAATATGCCTCATTACCACCACCACAAGTAAACCAGCAACAGCAGCATTTTACGTTCACATCCTAAAAATGTAAACTTCATGGAGAAAGCCAAAAAACTGAAAAAGAAGAGAGTAAAGATCAATTGTAAAGACAAGTTCAATTTGAGTAATTATTCCTGTTATTGTGGTTAAGTAATCAAGTTACCAATATGGCTGTAAATAATTTGCATTAACAAAGTATAAAATTTAAGTTAGTAAAATTCATATATTTGGACTTCATTTAATAAGCTACTCTATAAACAATTCCAGGCAGGGGCGCCTGGGTGGCTCAGTTGGTGAAGCGTCTGCCTTTAGCTCAGTTCATGATCCCAGGGTCCTGGGATCGGATCCCACATGGGGCTCCTTGCTCAGTGAGGAGCCTGCTTCTTCCTCTCCCCTGCCCCCACTCATGCTCTATCTCTCTCTCAAATAAATAAAATCTTTAAAAAAAATTTAAAAAATAAAAAATAAAAACAATTCCAGGCAAATACTATACAATGTGAAATTTTTTTCATGATTAAGATGTCTTTTTTTTAATCATTAGAATCAACGTGAAATCACTTGTGTTAAGAAAGAATATGGAGAGAGAACCACATAAGAAAAAGAAATAGAAAAAAATTATTTAAATACTATCTGGTCCCAAAGTTTATTCCATAGATTCTTTTGTTTCTGTTTTCCAATTAGTGTAAACATCTTTCTCATGTCTTCCTTAGGGCACATAAGCCTCTGGATTCTGACAGCACATGTGGGAAAAGGCAGTATATGCCGAGAATCTAATAAAAATTGGATTCAAAGAACCTTGCCACTCCACACCCTGCCAAAGCAAAGAATCATGACAGCATTTTAATCGGAGGATTCTATCACCACCTGTAGGTTATGTAATGCTTACTTTCTGGAATAATAGAGTGATCTTAATATCAATATTGGTACGTCTGGAAATAATGGACTTTAGGCAAAAGGACCACAGACACCCTTTCATAGGGATCTTACTGCTTCTGTCTCCGGTCCCAATCACAGTGTGTGCAGGCCTGTTTCTTATTAAAGCACTCTCAAGTCAGACCAGTGTCCCAGGACGCCAGTCGCAGGTGAGCAGGACCTCACCTAAGAGGTAACTACATGTGTGAAGCGTCACTAGTCTCTACTATGAAGTGCTCTTCTCCACTCCCAATGCCCCCCAATGCCCCTGAAAAGAGAGCAGCAGGGCCTAATTAATTTTCCAATGGGTGATGACGGCCCCCCAACTTTCCTGCTCTGGCCACTGACAGTCCTCTCCCTACATGCTTGCTGTTATTGCACAAGGAAAATATAGATGGGAAAAACCTAAATACAAATGCTCTAAAGGAAAATTTTGTTTATACTTCAAAATATGATGTACTAGATTTTATGGAATTATTTTATGAAAATCACATTTGGAAGAAGAATAAGTAGACATTGTCTTCTAATAATAAACATACCCTACACTCCTGCAGGAGGAAAGGGTTTTCACATTTTTCAGAAAACACAAATCCTTTTAAGGAATAAAAGTATAACATTTTATAAAAACAATGCACTCTTCTTTTAATGAATACTGATCAACTGTTTGCTAATTAGATAGAGATGTCCCATGGCGTTTACCCTTAATGTTGTACAGATGTGAGTGGTATTCTCAATTACAGATTTTACAGAGAAACAAAACCCTTTTTAATTGTATCCGTGTCCTGAAAGAATGCATTCTACTTCATTTGGTCTGTTTCTCAGAATCCAACTCCAAATAGCACTGCTGCTAAGAGAGACCAACAAGCTCACCTCTGCCGTCCCCCAGTAAGAGGGAGTAAACGCGCTGCCGCACCGGGCGGTAAACGAAAGCCTGGCTGGGCAGAGCTTGGTCGAGGGCGTCCTCCAGCGTGTTACTGCATTCGATCTCCCCGCTGCTCATAATGTTGTACACCAGGTAGCTCTCTGCCTGGACGTGATGCGCTCGAGCGACCTGTGTGAAATTCAAATACAACTGCTTTCTCCTCGAAAACAAAACAGTAACCTTCAAGAAAAAACCAACCCTTTTTATCCCATGCCAGTGTGTTCAGGCACTCAGAAATGGAGTGATGGTCCCTCAAACTCATGACATTGGGCTGGCATTGTTTCCTTTCCTTGGCACTTCTAGGCTCCAAACTGTCAATTACTCCTGCACCTCCAATCTCCAACCGCCTACCAGACTTACCACACCGACTTCTGCGGCATCTCAGAATTTTGTCTACCTGATGATAAGCATCACTATGAAAGACTCTGACTGAACCCAGGCCACTTCTCCCCTCTCCAACCCACCCTCCACAGCATCAACATCCTGTCTCCTTAGAAACAGGTCCAGTCACTGCCCTCCACAAAGCATCTGAATGGCTACCACAATCTTCACCCTAACATTCCAGGCCCCAATGTGCTCTTCCCATGATACCACTCCACCTCACAGAATCCAGTCACAATAGTACGCCTTCACTGTTCCTCAGGGACACTCGATCCTTCTCCATCTTCACTTGGGCTCCAGGAAATGTACCCCCTCAGGGCCTTCCTACCCTCCCACTTCATAAGCTCCTCTCTCGTTAGGGTTCACCACCCTGTCTTCTGCTCCCAACCAGAACTCACCTCCCCTCGCCTAATGGGGCTCATCCCACATTTACCCTAGTTACCTTGTCTGATCTCCCCTAGTCAACTAAACTTCCCTGGGATCAGAATCTGTGTCACGTTCACCTGTTCAGTAATTCCTTATTGAGCAAAACACACGTGCTGCACACCCGTTTCTGCCTTGCAACCAGCAATGTTGGCACAAGGTCGGTGATGAGACACAGGGCTGCATTCCACTTTCTCCTTAAAAAAAGGAGCTAAGCGGCGCCTGGGTGGCTCAGTTAAGCCTCTGCCTTCGGCTCAGGTCATGATCTCCGGGGTTCTGGGATCAAGCCCTGTGCATTGGGCTTCCTGCTTGGCGGGGAGTCTGCTTCTCCCTCTCCCTGCTTCATGCTCTCTCTCTCAAATAAATACATAAAATCTTAAAAAAAAAAAGAAAAAAAAGCTAAGATCAGAGGCCTATAATAACCTACATACAGGTTTTATTTTTTTCTGTGAAGAACATTCTTATTAGTGTAGGAAGTGATTTACCCAGATTACTACTCAAAATTCAATCCAAACAGTCTGCCACAAAAGGCATTTAAAATGTGGTGTTACTGCTGGTGGGAATGCAAGTTGGTACAGCCACTTTGGAAAACAGTGTGGAAGTGCCTCAAAAAATTAAAAACAGAGCTACCCTATGACTCAGCAATTGCACTCCTGGGTATTTACCCCAAAGACACAGATGTAGTGAAAAGAAGGGCCATATGCACCCCAATGTTCATAGCAGCAATGTCCGCAATAGCCAAACTGTGGAAAGAGCCGAGATGCCCTTCAACGGATGAATGGATAAAGAAGATGTGGTCCATATATACAATGGAATATTACTCAGCCATCAGAAAGGATGAATACCCAACTTTTACATCAACATGGATGGGACTGGAGGAGATGATGCTAAGTGAAATAAGTCAAGCAGAGAGAGTCAATTATCATATGGTTTCACTTATTTGTGGAACATTAGGAATAGTATGAAGAACATTAGGAGAAGGAAGGGAAAAATGAAGGGGGGGGAATCAGAGGGGGAGACGAACCATGAGAGACTATGGACTCTGAGAAACAAACTGAGGGTTTTAGAGGGGGGTGGGAGGATGGGTTAGCCCGGTGATGGGTATTAAGGAGGGCACGTACTGCATGGAGCACTGGGTGCTATATGAAAACAATGAATCACGCATCACTACATCAAAAACTAATGATGTGATGTATAATGACTAACATAATAAAATAAAATTTAAAAAACAAAGTAACATGCACATAAAAAATAAATGAACTTCAGTTTTCTCATCTGTAAAAATAAAAAAAAAAATGTGGTGTTAGGACAACCTGGAATGTCAAAAACTGTGAATCGGTGTTCTATTTATATATACTTTTAAGTAGTTCTAGTTATTTTGATTCATTTTTGCAGAATTGAGTCTTACTCTATTTCTCCCTTTCTTCAGATATAAAGTAGGTTTAATAAAAGTGCCAACCTCACAGGACTATCCTGAAGATTAAATGGGTCAATGCAACGGTTAATGAGAACTCTGCACATGAGGCCTGGCACGCAGCGCATGGTCCCCGGTGTCGCCACTGTCACGAGCTACACATGTTATAAAATGTCTATCTCCTTGCTGAAATGTCTTGAAACTAGGATGGCAGACAAGCTAGCAACTTTAAGGTCAGTAAGGTTAAAAAATATTTTTTAAAGGACTGTTATTTGATACTCTAATGGAAGATCGTTGGAAAGTGAACTATTTCTCTATGTGCCCCTTTTGATACTGAATCCATCAGAAACATCAGTTACATTTTTTATGATCCTTTTGAGGCAAACAGCTTCTGACTTATTTTCCTATTCCCTCTCCCATTTCTGAGTCTTTTTCATTTCAAGAGAGATGGTATTTTGACAAATCTATCTAGAAAGTTGTAATAAATTATATTCACCCTGCCAAGAAATCTTCAATTTTGGCAACTGTACAGAATTTGAGGTGTTTTCTGGGTGTATACAGGGTTTTTCAGGTAAGTTCTCTACAATTAGAACTTTAATTCACTAATTGGATCAGAATCATTTAATAAGTACCTTTTACCTCTGTTCTTCACTATAAATCTATATAGCACTCTACACTTGGAAAAGCCTTAACATATTCACCTAATCTAAAATTCTAACATAATAATTCAGTTTATCCAACATTATGGAACCAAGTAATTTACGCTTCATATTTAACTGATTTTCCAAAATACTCTGTTACGGAGAAAACATAGATATCTGGCTGTGGTATGTGCCCAGGATAACGGCTGTGTGCTACAGCCTTCTACCTAAGGGTTTCTAGGGGACTGTGTGGGGTTGAAATACATACACGTTGGAACTGGGGTTACCTATCTGATAGGGCTAGAAGACTCCACTGCAAACAAATTTTGAGGGAAAATGTAAGGGGAACCGAAGGGACTTCACGCAATTGTTTTCAAAGATATCACGAAGTCCAATCAATGGGAGAGTCCTAGTGTGGACAACATGTGATCTGTCCTTCCACAATGGCCCAACTTCCCCTGCAGGCAGGCCTCCCACCACTCTCCTCCCCTTTTCCCCATCCAAGGCTCTTCCACTGCTGCACTTCCTGAAGGAGTAAGCACTCCCCAGCTCCAGCCTTTGCCTCCAAGGTACTCCTCAAACCCCGGCCATCTGACCTCCACCAGGCCCCCTGCGTGACAGTGGCTCTCTCAGGCCACGAAACCCTCCTAACAGCCACCCAGCCCCAATTCTACTTTACTCTGCAGCACCTGACGGTCCTCACTATTGCTCCTCTCAATCTTGAAACCTGCCTCCTTGGGTTTCTGCGGGGGTCACCGCCCCTCATTCCCCTCCCTGTCTGACCAGCCCTCTCTCGGGGCATGTTTTCAGAGGGCTCAATCCTCTCCTTGGAGGGTTTCCATTACCACGTATAGTCGGATGACTTCCAGATGTCTGTCTCCTGCCGAGTAATGGCATTGAGGCCTGTTTTCTAAGCATCAGATGGTCTTCCCTAGCTATCCTCTGTGTCAAACCTCTCCTCGCCCATCCTTAAGTCATGGCAACACCCATCCCAGAGCACAGGAGGACCCCTACCTCCATAGCAAGACTTACTTTTCAGTGTTTCTTCCTCCCCTTTGCCATTGTCCTAATTCTAGCTCTTTTGTCTTCCACCTTGGTTTCTGCAACAGCCACATTAGTCCATTCTCTGCAGTATAACCAATGTTTCAAAAAACAAATACCTGATCACATCACACCCCTGCTTAAAGATATCTAATACCTTCTCAATGTGTATAAAAACTAAGTCCTAAATTCTTTCATGATACACATGCTGCCCTTTGTCGCCCAATCTGTCAGAACTCTCTTTGCAGGAAGCTGGGTGAGATGACCAGGGTGTCCAGTAAAAGAGCAAAGGCCAAGGATGGGTCCTATTGGTGTGGTGAATGCAAGTCAGGGTTTGTGAAGAGCCCAAGCCCAGAGAGGACATGTGCAAGGCCATACACAAACGGGAAATGGGTGTGAGTTGGGAAACAGCGGGGGCCAGGTCAAAACAGAAAAAGCAGAGGGCCCAGAGTGGTACTGTGCATGCCGGTGGGTGATGCTGCCTCGTGCTTGACTGGAGTCCTGGGCCAGCTGAAAAGCAGACCCTGCCCTCCTCTAGGCAGTGAGGCACCCCGCATGCTCTCCTTCTGCTCTGCCCTTCCTCCGCCCGTGTGCCTTTCCCTGTCCTGTCCTTCAGGCAAACTGTTGGAGTGGCTCCAGGGCCTACATCACGTGCCACCTTGGAAGCCAGGCCTAAGTCTAGGAGCAGGGTGGCTTCCTGACAAATTCCTCCATGCTCATGCTTCTAGGCTACCGACCATGACTGTCTCACCCTTCCACGTGCCATCAGGGAACACAGATGTCATCTCAAAAAGGGTCAAACTTGCAGTCAGAGGCCTGGGTTCAAACCCGGGCTCTGCCAGTACCAGCTGTGTGATTGCAGACAATGTCACTTAGCCTTTTCACACCCATGTCCTCATGCGGTGATGGAGGCAAGCACATCTAGGATCAGAACTGTGTGGTGGTTAAGGGAAATAATATGAATAATACCCTCTGGTCACTAGTGGAGAATCATCTCTGCATGGTCTATATTAAACTAGCATTCCTACATCCAACCTCATAATAAAACCAAATAAATTTAAGCAAAGTTAGATTTAGCTCTTCTCTGTTCATTTTCCTGACTTTGAGTCTGTTCAGGTGATGTCTAGTCCTCTGCTGAGACGTGGGCTCCCCTGCCCCGTCCTTCTTTCCTACTGTCTGACCACACTTCCACCTGGAGCTCTGATTCTGCCCTTCCTCCGATTTCTAACCCACATTCTTTTCCTTCTATGAAGCACTTAAGGACACTTCCAGGTAGGATAATTTTAACCCCTTAATACTTTCTCACCTGAAACTCTCATAATGTATGTATCACATCCTACTTTGGACTATAATTTTTTATGTTAGTAAATTAGCGTATCTGCTACAATGTACGTAATAGAGAAAGAGGTGAGAGACTTTTCAAGACAGGACAACCCATGTAGCTGTACAGGAAGGAGGGAAGATGTCGCTAAAGGAGGGGCCCTAAAGATATCAGAGAAAGGGAACGCCACCTTCAAGACTTCGTGAGCAGCTACCGTGAGACACAGTGTGACAGGCAAAAGGGGCCGAGCAGGGAGGAAACGAACAAGACCCTGGCCTCACCGCACTATCACAAGCACGAAATCCCAGCAGGAGCCACACGGTACATGGCCGGGGGCCATCTGGGTGGGTGGCCACCCAGCTCTACAGAACAGACCAGCACCAGGGCAGGGGAGGTTTCCAGGAGGGCCACGACAGACCAGGGACTGGCCAGCTGGAGGAGGTGAGGTGCTGGCAGGCTGTAGTCTACTCAGGGTTACTGTTTCTACTCTTTGAAGAGTTATGAATGCAAATTAAGGGCTTTATTTCTGCATGGAGCATGGTAAGTGGTTGGAAAGGGCAAACAGAAGAATTGTTAGAGTTACCGGGTAATCCAGAAAAGAGGCAGCTTACACTAGGGTGGGGAGACTAACTGGATAGGTACGAGTAACAAGACAGAGAGAGAATTCCCAGGTTTGTGACTTGTGTAACTGGATGGAAGATGGGGACACCGTCAGGAACAACAGAAGGTTTGAGGGTAAGAGATAACATGTGTAACCCACCTAGCACAGAACCTCACACATAACAGGTGGTTAATAAATAGCCCTCCATAAAAACCCTCAAGGACTCTCTGTCACTTTCAGAATTAAGTCCCAGCTCCTGGTGGGGCATATAATAATCTTCACAGTCTGGCTAGACTCCACGTTTTCCCTGTATCTCTCTCCCTGTATCTCGCCTCAGGCCCCATACTCCAGCCTACTATTCTACCTCGTGCCCCAAGGCAACAGGTATTTGTCTATTTGTTATAAATTTCAGCTCCCATGAAGGTCTGGCTCTACTTCTACCTCTTCAGGAGCGTCTCTCTGTATTTAACCCACAGCGACCACTCTCCTTCAAACTCCTAGAGCTCTCTTTTATGACACGCATGCACCCATATCAAGTCTACTTTATAATGTGAGCTTCCAATGCATATGTCATACTTCTCAACTACACCGCTAGGATCCTGTTGTGTGTCCCCCACAGTGCCTGAACTACAAGAAGTCAGTAATTGATTGATATATTTTCCCAATCATGACACCCAGATTTGGCTGGGCACATCTACGTACCTTTAAGATTTCGGGGTCTGAAACCATGGTTACTTGTTTGACTTCAGGCTCCGTATTCATGAGGTCTTGTTGTTTAATTGCAGGGTCTGTACACATGGGTGCTTCTAGCTCAAATTCGGGATCCGCCCCTAGAGGTAACTTTTGCTTGATTTCAGTGTGTGTACATATGGGAACTTCTCGTTTATATTTAGAGTGAACTCCTTGCTTGGATTCAGGGTCTATACACATGGGAACTCCTTGCTTGGATTCAGGATCTATACACATGGGAACTCCTTGCTTGGATTCAGGGTCTGTACGCATGGGAATTCCTTGCTTAGATTCCGGATCTATACAAATGGGAACTCCTTGCTTGGATTCAGGATCTGTACACATGGGAACTCCTTGCTTGGATTCACGGTCTGTACGCATGGGAATTCCTTGCTTGGATTCCGGATCTATACAAATGGGAACTCCTTGCTTGGATTCAGGATCTGTACACATGGGAATTCCTTGCTTGGATTCAGGATCTGTACACATGGGAATTCCTTGCTTGGATTCAGGGTCTGTACACACGGGAACTCCTTGCTTGGATTCAGGGTCTGTACACACGGGAACTCCTTGCTTGGATTCAGGGTCTGTACACACGGGAACTCCTTGCTTGGATTCAGGGTCTGTACACACGGGAACTCCTTGCTTGGATTCAGGGTCTGTACACACGGGAACTCCTTGCTTGGATTCAGGGTCTGTATACACGGGAACTTCTTGCTTGGATTCAGGGTCTGTACACATGGGAACTCCTTGCTTGGATTCAAGGTCTGTACACATGGGAACTTCTTGCTTGGATTCAGGGTCTGAACTCATGGATACCACCTGCTTGTCCAAAGTCATTAAACCCTTGGGTTTTTGGAAAAACCACGGAGATATCTGTCCTGGCAAAAGATATGATGCCACACCCTTATAAAAAAGAGCTTTGTTTGGTCCCAAAGGTAACATCTCTTCTAGCTTTTTCTCACCCTGATGTAAGCGAAGAACTTTAGATATATGGTCTGCTACAGCTAAGATAATGTTACCCTTTTTGTCAAAGTTCTCCTTTACAGAGGTATAGGAAGACAAGCATTTGTACCGAAAGCTTTCAAACATGCCCTCTGGGATTATGTCATTGCCAAGCAGGCAGGCCAGAAGAGGAAGGTCTGCCAGGCTGATATCCAGACTCTCACAGAGCTTCTCTCTACAGAGCATGACAGTATTGAGACTCTCCAGGCAGAGATCACCAATTGAAAAGTAGGGACAAGTATCATAAATTAAGTAGTCAGTGTCTTCTCCAAGAATCCCAAGACAGTTATTCTGGAGGCCATAAGATGCCACCTCATAGTCAGCCTCTTGTAAGGAACACAGGGTTTCCTGACCCAGGGTCTTCAAAGCAAATCGTGTAAAGATGGCCAGCCCAGATGGGATGAAGAACATGTTTCTGCCTGGCTGCTCCTTGTGTGACTTGATATAATGGAAAATCCTGGAGATCTCCCTATTGTTCTTGAGTCTTCGTTTCACCCATTCACCTCTCTTATCCTGCTCCACCATGCCATCAAAGAAGAATATCAACTTGATGCCAACAGCTGTAAAAGTCTTAACAAAATCCCGCAAAGCAGAAAAGTATTCCCGCCACTGGCCACCGCAGATCCAAGATTCAGGAGTATACCAGTATCTGAGACAACACATGGCATCAACCACAATGGTAGGAGTACATCCAGGATGCTTGTTTCGGTGGTGTTCTGCCAGTTCTTTGAAATTCACTACTGTACATATATGTGGGCAGCTACTGCCCACAAATCCCTGCAAACCTCTCACACCCATAATTGAACTCCTGGAAAGGATCTGGAAAGGAAAATAAATTAGTAATTATGGCATCACCACTGGATATACACCTTTTAAAGCAAACACAGACAATATTTAATATTCACTCTCTAGTTGCAAAACACTCTAGTCACTAATAAGATATGGAACATGACATACTGGTTAGGAGCCTAAAGAGCTTTCACTGAAGACAAAGAAGCACTTTACCCAAGCACGAGTCACCAGAGCCCACCTTCACGAGGGCCACACAGTGTAGCAACCTGCTAAGATTTGTATGAAGGCTCTTATTCAAGGGATTTCTCAACCAAATTAAAAAATAGGACAACAGTTTTCAAAGAAGTATTATTTCCCATCTAGGAACTCAGAAATTAATTTTGAAAACCTAAAACATATATAGGTACATACAATATCCATGTTTCTCAGAATAATTTTACTGAGTGAAAAAAGGCACACCAAACAGGTGTACACACCATAGGACCCATTTGTATGAAATTCTAATTCACTGAGAGTGGGGCTGATCGGTAGCACCAGATTGCAGGCAGTGGTGGTCTGGTGTGGGGCAGGCAGGAGGGAGGGATTTATACAATGGAAACTTTCGGGGTGATGGATATGTTCACTACTTCAATTGTGGTAATGGTTGGACAGGTGAAGACATGCTAACCCTTGTCAAATTATACACTGTAAAAAAGTACAGTTTACTATCTATCAAGTACACCTGAATAAAGGTATCAAAAAGAAAAATACATATTCTGTATGTATTTCTGTAACATCTGAGTTGGTGACTGACTGACTTTGAATGGAAAACTGCCCACTCTGAAATGCAGAAACCTGGTAGTTCAAAGAGTTAGAACTCAAAATCTGAAAAAAAACTAAGCAGAGTACTTTAGATGTCATTGGTCAGAAAAAATTCCATGATGACGTCTTTGATCTTAATGGCCTACGATTTTCACTTTGGTTTTCTTTAAGACTCATCAGGGCTTCACGTCCATTGATAAAACAAACAAAAAGTCCTTATTACACAGACAGCTCTAGGAGAACAAACGAAGCCTCTCCAGGCTTGGGGCTGAGGGAGGCAGCCATCAGCTGCTGACACACATCCGTGAATGAGGACTCTGGCCTCACGGTGCGTGCGCTTCCCACCAGACAGCACTGGGCACTCAAGACACAAAATCTCCAGGCTTTAAAACAACTCTGACAGGCAAAAAGCTGTAAGCTCCATTTCACAAATGAACAAATTGCAAATAATTTACTACGTTGAGAAAAGGTACCCTTACAGAGGACTATCTTTTAAGAACTTACTGCCTGTTAATGGACACTGGCCCCTCAAAAAATTTGAAATTATCTATTTAAAAGCCATTAATACTGAAAATACATAAACATGGAGTGGACATAAATTTCACACATTCATGTTGAACTTTAGAGAAATCCTGCTTGTTAAGTTATTAAATACAATGGAATACACAAATCCATAGACCCCAAACCACTGTAGAGCAATCACTAGCAAAGGATTTACCTTGGGAACATTACCAAGGTGTGAGTTTTTGAAGCAGAAACTGGACTTCATAACATGATTATCTGGGCCTCCGGGTATGGATCCTATGTTTACTAAGGTGACGCTGTATTTCTGAAGCCAGTTTTTCTCATGAGATTCCAACACAGTAGTTTGGCTCAGGTTTGGAAAGAGAATGGAAGAGCACAAAGAAGGGTGGGTCAGAGTGGATTGAAAAAACAGTGCTCAGACTTCACAAACTCTATCTAGGCCATTATTCTATGCCTAGCTTTGAAAAAAGCAGGCTTGCAGGGTGTGCTGATGATGAACAGACCAAAGGCAAATCCTACAGATTCAGACTCTTTCTCCATGGTGAGACGAGACTCCGCGGCTTTCCCAGGCTCCCCGGGGGGTGCTAGGCATCTGCCGGAGCGCACCGTCAGTGCCTGGGGGTACCCGCCCAGCAAGCCCACCAGTGGCCAGTGGGAGCTCCTCGCGAGGCACTGGCCGGCTGCAGACACACGTGAAGACAAAGCCGAAGCAGAGCGGAACCGGCCCTCAGGCCCGGCTCCCACACGGACGTGGGTCCGCGTTTGTGCAGCAGCTCTGCCACGTTTGGGTTGGCTGCCTTCCCTCACCAACAGAAAGGGATTTTTGTTTCAAGCATTTTTCTACTAAAACTGCAAGAGACAACACTGAGTTGCTCAAAACACTCTCCTCTTTATTTTGGGAGAAGTCAAGCTCAGCCTCTGCTTTGATTTTATTCAAATGTTTTTCTCCTTTCCCACCCAGCAGTGAAAAGCTCACTATTATAATTAAACATGTACTGGTTTTTCCTCTTTCACACTGCCAATTTCTCACATTTTGAATCACAAATTACTTCAGGAATGCTACGTTACAATGTGCTCTTCTATGGCATTTACAAAAACAAATTTGGATAAGCGAGGACCTGGGAACTTGTGACACTGGATGATGCCTTCCGGTACCGCAGCACTTCGAGGCGTCCAGTGCTCCCGCCACCCACCCCTCAATGCACTCAGTGTGCTGTACAACGAAATGCCTAAAAAAGTAAGTTCTGTGGGTTTTACCTTTCCTGAACAATTTTAAGGTTTTTTTAATATTGCTAAGAGCATATACAGCTAACCCTTGAACAACATGGGTTTGAACTACATGGGTCCACTTATATGTGGATTTTTTTCAGTAAATATAGCACAGTACTGTACATGCATTATCTCCTCCTTGTGATTTTAATAACGTTTTCTTTTCTGACTTTATTGTAAGAATACGGTATATAATACATGCAACACACAAACTGTGTTAATCGACTATTATCAACAAGGCTTCTCATCAACAGCAGGCTATTAGTTAAGTTCTTGAGGGGTCACAAGTTATTTGTGGATTTCTGGTTGTGCGAAGGGGTCGGTGCCCCTAACTTCCACACTGCTGAAGAGTCAACCCCACTGAGGTTTTTCATTCTTTAAAGGTAGTTTTAAAGATCATGGCAAACACATATGTGTATGTGTACATATACACACAGTTTTCATTAGTTAGATAATTGTTGTTTGGAAAGAAAACAGATGTCTCATTAGGGAGGAGTCTTACTGCCCAAAATGGAATCTGGGAACCACTTCCATTAATGTGGGCCTCCTCAGGGCAAATGACATCACTCGGTCATAGCCCCAGCACCCAGCACTGTGTCCAGCATGGTAGGGGCCCAGTAAGCACTTGTGAATGAATAAGTGAAGGCACTGAAGGGCAGGTGTATAAAGAGAAACCAGGAATCAACCAGTTGACAGACTCCGACTGCAGGCAAAGAAAAGAGCAGGGAGCAAGTAGCTGACAGACTGGTTTGGGAAACAAAGCATTCGATGCAGGAAAGTTTATGGAGGAGGAGCCGGCAGGCACAGAAGTACAGCTGGAGCGGGTCGCACTGGGAGGGGCTGCGCTCCTAGGAGAAGCTTCCTTCCACACAGCTGGACCAATCCCAACATCCTGGGTTACCAGAAAAGGAGGAAAGAGAAGTCCAAAAGCTCCCTTATTCACAATCTTTCAACTGACGAACACAGAGACATGAAGAGTGCCGGGCCTCAGCAGACAGATCAACCTGTCTGCCATGGATGGAAGGGGCCAGAGTACCTCTGGACACAGGGAGAAATGGACTCAGGGACAGCCCACAGATGGAAGGGGGGGTGCAGAGGGCAGTGTTTGCAGGACAATCGGTAGCAACAGCAGTGACCACCTTAAAGCACACCCAGCATCCGACAGCGTTAAAGCATAATTTTCAAAGGCTAAGAGACAACCCATGCACACATAAATTAATGAGGGAGCCATCAGGATGGGAAGCTAGTTCAGAGGGCTTTGAAGAGCTGGAGTTGACTGAAACAAGCTATTTTCAGTTGGAGACAAATCAGGTTGAAGTCCTACAAAGGCATGAAATCAAAACCTTTGGGTTTATTTTTATCAGAAATAATTTGCATCTCTACAAGACAAAAAATCTACATATTAACATGTAACATCAGGGTCTAGGCTCTAATCAAGAGTAACCAGCAAAGTCAGAGAGCTACATTTGGTCGGAAGACAGAACAGCCTTGGGTGACTCTGTTGAACAACGGCCCATGTGACAGTAACAACATAAAAACATGCAGTCCTTTTCCCTGGCTTCATTTCCAAGTCTTAGATAATGTTTCTTCCACTGGTAACATGCTGGCTGGGCCTGGGCCCTCAGGGAGGGCCTCCTGTGGCTTGATGTGGATCATCTGAGGCCTGCTCTTCTTCCCCTGCCTCCCCACTAACTCCCCTACATACAGCAACATACGGGACCCCTTCACACAGCAAGGCAAGACCAGGGACTAAAAACTCCCAAGAAATGAATGCTTACCCCACACCAGCATATGGGAACATGTTAGCTCAGTGTTTACTGAGTATTTATGAATGCACAGACCAGGTGAATGAGTAAGCTAAGAGTGGCTGCCACCTGGGTTGGTCTCCATGCCTCAGAGGACCACCACCCAGGGCTCATTAAACTGCTGACAAGACGCTCTCCTGGACCAGATTTCAATCAGGCTCCTCTGGGCCCTCCTCTCAACTAGGCCTCAACCTTGGGCTTCCATGTACATTCTGGCTGAGTCTAGTTTCAGCAAGAGTCCTGCTGAGTCTGCCTGGAGAAAATCCCTACCCTTGATAGACGGTCACCCTCAAGACCTGATCAAAGGCTCCATCCCCTTGGTTCTCAAGGACCTCCTCCCTCTGCTGGCAGGCTACAAATCCCCAGGTGTCTGCTGTGTTCAAAGCTGAGCCTAGTGCTCTCCCCTCGTGCAACAGTCTTAAGTGAAGTCTTCCTTACTGTTTTAGCAAGTGTCAGTATATTTCTTCTTCAACACTGCATCTCTAAGAAGCTTATTCAAGTGAGAAATGGGAAGCCTACAGCTATTATGATGTACATTGTGTGTCTAGGTACAGATGTCCAGACTCAGGATGTTCTGGAGGACCCTCCGGAACACAGTCAGGCCATGGCCACTGATGCCAAGATTCAGAAAACTGGTGCATGGCTGATGTAGACACTCCGTACTTGGTAGGATGGCCCCTCTTAGCTGTGTCCTAGGAAGAAGTGACAGAATCTAGGCGGTACAGTACAGTCGATACACGGAAGGGCTCTAGTGAGTTCAAATTCTAACCTCCACTTAATAGCAGTAAAATTTTGAGCAAGTTACTTTATTCTATGAGCTTCATTTTTCATATCTCTAAAGAGGTTTATAAGATCTACTTCATAAACTGTGATGCAATTTCATTTATATTACAAATTTATTCATAAAACATACCATCAGTTGCCTGAAGTGTAGTAAAATCAGCCCAGCACCAGCCAAAATTCTTAAATTATTTCAAAATTTAAAACAAAGCCATACAAGTTCTCGTGAGGTTTTACTGTATTTATGATTTTTCAAGCTAGTTTATTTTAGTATCAGGAATGTATTTATTTATAAAAATTTGTCTCTAAAAGTAGCCATGCTCTTTGCAGAAAATTCAGAGACAGCACAAAGGAAAAAAAAACTACTTATAATCTCATCTTCCAAAGATAAGGACTACAATTTTAGGGTACATATTTCTAATTTTTATTATTCATTGTTTTTAAAAATTGGGATACTCTTGTCCTTTCTGTAATCTACTTTTGTGTCTTAATTTACCACGAATATATTCCCAGATCACTGTGTTAACCTTCTCCTGCAGTGTTATTTTTAATGGATACACAGTGCCATAAGTGTGTATCACATCTCTGTATATAAATCTTGGGAGTATATCCTGAGCACTTCCTTGGGACAAATCTTAGATATGAAACTGCTGAGTCAAAGAGCGAGCACATGGTGGTCCTTTTTTCTTCAACAGGATGTCATTTGTAGCTGCCATTCATTAATACTCAGTTCTCCTCAACAATACCAGGTGATCTCCTCAACAGTACCAGGTGTTTAAACATGAATCTGGTTTACTCCTTTAGCAAGTACCTTTAGGTCATTCACAAGAGCAGACACTAGCTATGACCAAGACACAGGGCCCTGCCCTCTAGCAATTCACACTCTAGCAGGAAAACATTCAACCCACAATAATCACTTGGGCAGAGCTGTAGCTGGGGGAGGGGGGTGGCAGGGGGGGATGCTCAGCAGGGAGACCCAACCCAGATCCAGGATCCACAATGGCTGTCCTGACTAAGGGCAGTGGAAGTGAGCCTGACAAAAGGCAGGAAGGACAGGTGCGGCCAGAGCGAGATGATGAGTTGGCAGGCAGATGGGAGGCACAAGAGTCGCAAGGAATGAGGATTTTTAAAGTCTGTAAGATATCTTTTCTTATCAGTAAATGGATGTTTCTAAGGTGCTTACAATACACCTGTTGTACTAAGTAGTTTAACCTGCAACTTTATTTATATTATAAATGTGTATTTTATTATAAATGCTTGAGGACAGCACAGGGAAAAAAAAAAAACCACCAACTCTCAGTATGGCTCGAACCCCCGATTTAAGGGAAGAAGAGTGAGGAGATGAGGATGCACACAGGGCCAGACAGTGAAGGGGTCTGCCACGCACATGTATCTGGACTTCAGCCCAGGGGAAATCAGATATTGGTCTAGGCTCTAAAGTAAATACATCTTAGAAACACTGCCCTGACTCTGTGGAGAGAGGATGGAGAGGTGAGACTGGAGATGAATGAGGGGCTCTGGCTGGCACTGCTTGTTCTGCTGCCCACCATCCAAACCTCTGTTTTGGAAGAACCCGAAGGGATGCAGAGTCCTAATTCCTACTGCAAAGACAAAGGAGGTAGAGACCCTCTTCTGGCTCCCACACACCTACCAAAGACAAGAGTTCTGAATTCCCTTATTTGCTCAGTAAATTGCTCCAGGCCCTGTGCTAACAGCTGTGGACACAGCAATGAACCAGACAAAGTCCCTGACGAAGAAATGGGCCCTGAGAATGGGAGTGAAAGGCACAGGGTCTGTCAGAAAAGGAAGTCTGGCAGTGTGTCCATGTGTCAAAATGCAAGATATCGTACACTTACTCTACAAGGCGACCAGCAGCCATCTCTAGTCCCACTGGGCCAGGATCAGTTTGTTCAGACTCATGAAAGGCATGCCATGCTGCACCAGCAAAGCAGGCCAAAGAGCTGGTGCTGGGCAGCAGCCAGCAAGGTGTGCTATGTTAGAACACCTGCCTGAGGTCATACACACTAACAGTGAAGCCCAGATCTTGCCTCCAAAGCCCATGTACCTTTCACTAGGCCCCACCCCCACCTAACTGCTCCATCTGAGCAGTCTGGTTGCTGCTGCCCCCAGTGCTAGAAAGACCACTCACTGCACAACTGTCCGATGGGTGTCCTTAGTCCAGAGAGCTCTTCTTCCTGAAGGTTCTCCCAGTCGGAAGGGTACTCACAGAATCATCAGGATCGAAGGGGCAATCCAGAACACTGGGCCTTTCCCTAACCCTCCGAGGCTCTACAAAACCCCTTAAAGGACAATGACACATAATGTGAAAACCAGTGTCACTCACTGAACATAGATAAAGATGCACGTAGGCCTGTAAAATTTATGCTTCGTTTATCCAGAATTCAGGGTAAGAATCCAATGTAAATTCATGAGTTAAAGCTAAAACAATTTATTCATAAGAGACTTCTTCAGGCTCTTATTTATCATCTATGGACTCTTTTCTATTCAGTTCTAACAAGGAGGTCCTACGTCCACGGTAGAGAAAAATACAGAAAGGGCATCTGAGGCAGGCACATGGATACCAACGGCAGTAGGAACCGACGAAAGCTGACCAGGGGAAAGCAAAAGAACAGGAAAACTAAACCTGACAGACACAAAAACTCCAAACAAGTAACAGGGCAACAGCTGTCCGGGCCTCAACAAATCCTACCCCGTTTACATCACAACGTAACAAATTATGTTTACAATGTTTACTTGAGATCATTAAAGAAAGTTTATGCTACATCCTGCACATTCTATTAAGAAAGCAGGGAAATAACATATTTTAGAAAGACTGCCATCCTAGATGGGAGATTTTGGTGCTTAATGGGCAAAAACCCAAAACTCAACTATCCAGAAAACTCTGCTGTTTCAAAGAGACTTTTCTCTTATCCTGGTTGGCAGTGGTTTTATTGTAAGTGACTTTACAGTAACTTACTACCCTCTGGGCTAAAGCACGAACAGGAACAGCATACTGCTGCACACTCTTGGAACTTTGAGTGCACATGTGGGACTCTGCAGCTAGACAGGCATGCTGAAGGATGGATACAATAATTTAGTCCACACTACAGTAAACATTCTATAATAAAAGCAATGGATTCTCACTTATTGAGTAATATTTGCTTATAAGGAAAAGAGTGCTCAGGAGTGCGTTTTTTTGGTTGGCAATGGCTCTGATTTACTGTGTGACTGAAGACAAATCATTTAATCTCTTTGTAGATCACTGATTCCCTTTTTGGTAAAACTTAAATGATGATTTACCCTCAGTTTGGTAGATTTTAAACTACTACTACAAAATCCTTTAAAAATATCTTTATATAAATAAATTAAACCTTAAATAACATATTTTTAGTCTCTGAAAATTTTTCCAACAGAACACCTTACAAAGAAACAGACATCTAAAAGCAAATTAAAATAGTTATTTATACCTGTTATAAAGCTTTATAAAAATAACTGATAGCATCAGGGTTGCCTCATTTTCAAACTAATAAAAGAAAGCATGCAATGAATTCCTCTGATTTTCCAATGTATAGCTCTAGCTTCTATGGCGATCAAGAGCTGCTTTTATGACCTCAATTAAGTGGTCTTTTCCCTCTTACCATTAACCATTTCTTGAAAGAGGTGGGAATGCAGCAGTGAAATAAATCAATACATACATTGTTGCAAAGGTTCTGCCAAATGCACTGAGATGCCAATCTGTGGCATCTCCCTCCTTGACGGAAAACTAAAGCCAGGTTACAGCAGGAATTTGGTCAGCTCCACTCGTTCCTATTTTCCCACCAAGCCTCAATAATGAATACACACATGTAGGGGGAGGTCTGAAGGACAAGAGTGCAAATACCAAGAGAGCAGGATAAGATAAATGGCCAGTTTCATAGGGATCCAAGTTGTGTAAGGCCTCAAATCTACACATTTGAGATCCTTCTTTTTAAAAAATACAAAATTATAAACACAAGACCTCTGAGGTATTTCCCAGTGCCTTGGAAGGGGTTCATGAGAGGGAGGGACCCTGACGCCTGATCTTCATTAGCTTTACAGTAAATCTACCCCATAAATGACACCCAGATTAAGGTCCAGGGATGGGGCAGAACCTCAGAATACGAAAACCTACAAGTGCCCTCAGATGTCACCTACTGCGGTCTTGTCCCTTTACAGATGAGAAAACAGCTGGCCAGAAGTGATTAGAGATCTCCGTGTGTCTGGAAGATTAGGTAGCTGAAAACGACATGAAGGAAGTGAGAGGCAAGATGGTCAAGAAATAGTATGTATGGAGAGGTGAGCAGCGAGGGGCTTGGCACAGCGAAGGTCTTGTCAGTGCTTTTCACGAACACAACTAGTAAGGGGAGCACAAGTGGCATTCTGAGACGACAGGAATGACAAGGTCAGGGCCACAAGCTCTTGCCACTATGGCAGAGCTTAGGGATGGCAAGAGATGGGGCGGTGAGGAAACCAGAACACAGAGAATGGGTGAAGGCTGTGCTGGTGCAGAGAGGGCAGCCCCTAGCAGCCAGGTCTACACATGGACAGGTCCAAGAGCACGTAAGACGTGAGGCCATGAGAAAACAAAAGGCTGACATGCAGGGGAACTGTGGGATACTGCTGCAGACCAAACAACACACGTCATACGTGATCGGCCAGGAACCTGATGCTGCAGACTTGTTCTCCAAGCTTTTCTCACTCTGAATCATTTCCTCAAATGCTCAAGCCAAAAATCTGTAAGTCATCAGAAATACCAACATCTCCTGTCTTTCCCATCAAACTCACCTCCCAGTTCTCTCCACTACCATATTCGGGTTTCCAGTTCTGAAACTGCTTTCCTGCAGGACTGCAAAAGCCCTCTTCTCATGACCTACAGACAGACTGACCCCACACCATCATCCTACACCTGCCAGACACTCTTCACGGTAAGATCCGATCACCCCCTTGCCCCCAATTCTCTACAGCTTCCTGCCATTTCCCATCTCTAAGCAATGTGTCTCTTCTCCACTTCCTCAGACGGTCTCAAACATGGTTTCCTCTGCGGAATGAACGGCCTCTTGCCCCTCCTTCACCTCCCAACTCCTGCTTCTCTAAAATTCTGCTCAACCCCCCCCCCCCGAAACTTCCCGGACCCTCCCTGACCTCCGCTCCCCCTACACTGGTCTAAGTTCCTTGCCGCCAGCGAACCCCGTCTTCTCCTCTCTGCAAGGACCCTGGAGCCCCAGTTCAGGACGGCCCAGACATGGCTGGCGGGAAAGGCACACAAGTTCGGAGCCGCGAGGGCTGAGGTCAGAGGACGCCCCTCTGGGGACGACCACACCAGCTGTGTGGCCGGGCAGCCGAGAAGAGAGGCCCCGGAATCGGCACACGTCTCTGGAGGGGAGCGGAGGGTCAGGATGGCGCCAAAGAGGAGGAAGCAAGGCGCAGAGCTGTAGGGGTCCGGCGGCCAGGGAGTGAGGTGACAGGGACGGAGAGGGCCGGGAGGGGAGAGGCGGTGGGCGGCGAGCGTCCCAGGCACCCGCAGCGGGGCGGCGCGGCTGCGGGCGGGCAGGGCCGCGGAGGGCTCGGACCCGGGCCCAGGGACCCGCGACGGGGCTCACGGCCGGGGCCGCCGCGACGGCGCAGACCCGCGAGCGCAGCGCGCCGAGCCGAGCCGAGCCCGGCAGGCCGAGAACGGCCCCAGACGGCGCCGGTCCCCCAGGCCCGGCCCTACCTAGAGACGCGCCAGCTCAGCCGGAGACGCGGCCGCACCACCCTCGGCCCAGCCGCAGCCGTCTGCGCACTTCCGCTTCCGCTCCGAGGCTTCCGCTCGCGGGGCCGCCCCGCGCGGGGGGCGGGGCCTGCGCGGTCGGGCCCCGAGGCGCCGGGGAGGCGAGCTGCGCAGGCGCCACGCCGGTTGCCTCGGAAACCGCGCGGTGCTTCCGAGGTCGGGGTCGCACGGTCCCGCGGCCGCTCGCGGGCGTCGGCGGGGCGCAGCCTCTTCGCCCTCCTTCCCGGCGGTGCTGCGCTGGCGGCGGGAGGGTGGTTTGAGGTCGGCTGGCCCGGCGTGTTCGCCTGCGGGCGGGTGGGGGCCGACGGTGACCCGGAGCCCCTGGCGCCGGTTTTTCGGGGGCCCAGGGGAGCGCCGCGGCCGGCTCGGGGGAGGGTCGGGCTCGCCTGGAGCGCGGCTGTCCGGAAGGCCGTGGGCGGTTCCCGCGCTGTCCGAAAGCGGAGCGCTCTGCGGAACCTTCCCGAAGTCCGCACGGTGCAAAGCGAAGACCTGCCTTCGTGTGGTCCTGGCTTTTTTCGTGTAGACGAAAATCCTCTGCGGATCTCTTGGGGTCAGCGTTCCTCAAATGGAAGTGGGGTAGCAAACGTTACCATCTCCGAACGTGCCCATTTCCATCTGAGGCATGGGGAGGGGTGGTGGGAATACGGAAGGGGATGTGTGACCCTGGGCGAGTTTCTTAAGGTCTGTACCCTCCGCTTCCTCGCCCGGGAAGTTGGGACAATAATGGGACTTCCCAGGCAGTGCTTAGAAAGGCTGTAGCAGAGCGCTTGGCCCGTAGTAAGCACTTCGTACATTTTGGCCATTTGTTGGATTGCTGCTGTGGTGATGATCATAATTATCCTCCAGTCCACGTTTTTTACTGGGCAGGTTTTCCAGTCTGAATGGAGTGGCGAGAGTGGTGGGGATGAGCAAGGACAGGGGCAAAAGCATGCGGCTTTGGAGAAATTTCGGTGACTGTAATGGAGTCATGAGGAAGTGGTGGCAGATAAAACTGGATGGTGAGCAGGAGCGCCTGGTCAGGCAGTGTCTCCGCCTCATGTTAACGAGCTTGGACTCTGCTTGTAAGCCACCATATCGACTTTATTTCTAAAACTGCTTTTAGACATGCACCCTTAGGCTCAGATGCCAGGCAGTCCAGATTATACCCACCGCCTGGTCCTCTAGCTGCAGCGACACCCTTTGCCCTCACTGGTAGCCAAGTGTGATGGCAGAAGAAGAGCCTTTAAACCAATCTATTTTTAAGTAAATTACTGACCAAGTAAAATTACTAATAATACCAGTTTATTTAAGCTGCATCTCAAAACCTGTCTGTACACACAACATATCTCAGTAGAGTTGCTGTAAGCACCAGGGAGCGAGAGGCTTCAGTTGAAGTAAAATGACCAAATAGTGTTCTCTTCAGAGTCTCTTCCAAAGAGACTTAACCAAAGCATTACCAAGTTGAAGTGACAGCACATATATAGTTTTGGGAAGGAGTCTTTCTGCCCAGCACACAAGGCTCTCCTTTCCTGTTGACTTTTTTTTTTTTTTTTTTTTTTGAGTAAAATCAACGGTGCTCAGCACCTACTACTGGTTGGGTACCACACCAAGAAGGGTGTGAAGTGGTCTCTAATCTTCAGGAGCACACATTGCGGTAGGGAAGAAAGATGAACATACATTAAATATTAGGAAACAAGTGAAACGTCGTGTAAAGTCTATAGCATTGGACGAAGAAGGCAGCAAGGAGCTAGCGTATGAACTGAGCCTGGAAGGAAGTGGGATCTCAGACAATTAGAAGAGGAAGGTCTTGCAGGCAGAAGGAGCACCTAGGAAACAAACGGAGGTTGGAACTGAGGTGGTGCAAGGGGCAGGCAGGGACACCACTTACAGGCTGTGCTGAGCCAGACTGAGGAGGCAGAGGGCAACAGGCCAAACAAAAGCCCTCCCTGACTGCTTGGGTGAGTCCCACCACTTGGCAGGCTTACCTACCTCATAGAGCTTTCGATAAGCATCTCTGCCTCCCTCCGAAATAGATACACATGACTAAGGATCAACAGACATTTAAGGAAGACAGAAAAAAAGGAGAAAACAAACTAGGAAAAAAAAATACTAAAAACATGATCTGCAGTCTCTGAAGATAATATATTCATCAGAGAAACAGAGAGGGGTATATAAAAGAACATTCCAAAAATAAGAGCTCTTGAAAATTATACAAGAAATGATAAACTTAAAAAGTGTTTAAAGTTAAAATATAAATCTGATGGTACCTCTCAGATATTAGAATAAAAAGAATAAGAGATCGAGAGAGATGAAACATAAGAAAATTAGAAGATTAAAGTTTGACATGTGAAAAATAGGAATCACAAGAAAGAACAGAGAAAATGAAGAAGAAATTACTCAAGAAGTAATTAAAGAAAACTTCCCAGACCTAAGAGACATGTTCTCAGATTGAAAAGGTTGCCAGTGGACTCCGGGAATCAAACGGAGGGTCACAGAAGGGAGGGGGTGCAGGGATGGGTAACTGGGTGATGGGCAATAAGGAGGGCACATGTGGGGATGAGCGCCAGTGAACTCCGGGAACCCAACTGAGGGTTTCAGAGGAGAGGGGGTGGGGGGAGGGGGTAACCGGGTGATGGGTTAGGGTTAGGGCACGTGTGGTGATGAGCACTGAGTGTTCTACACAACAAATGAATTGTTGAACACTATATCAAAAACTAATGATGTACTATATGCTGGCTAATTGAACATAATAAATAAATAAATAAATAAGAAATAAAGAAAAGTGTTGCCAAATGCCCAGCACAATGAACCTAAAATGATCCACACTAAGGCACATCATGAGATTTCAGGACACCAGGATTAAAGAAAAGATCTTAAACATTTCCATAGAGAAAAATAAAAAGGTCACATTTAAAGTTTTGGAATTCAGAAGGGCATGGGACTTCTCAACAGAATCCCAGGAAGCTGAAATTCAATGGAGATTTAACTTCAAAATTCTGAAGAAAATAATTCTAAAGTGGAATTCTCTCAATCAAAATATTAGTTAAGTGTGAGGGTAGAATAAAGATATATTGAGGTATGCAGCTCAAAAATATTATCTACCAAATACTTTATTCAGAAACCTGCTGAAGGATACTCTCTAAAACCAAGAAGTCAAGAAAGAGGAATATTTAGGACTTGGGTAGCAGGGAATCCAAGTGAGGAGAGAGGAGAGGAGTCCTAGCTAGAGACCATTTAAATTGGAGCAGGAGGCCTCCCAGAGACATAATTCCTAGAAGGTGAGCCCCATGGAATATCTGATGTGTCTGAATATTTTAAAAGAAGATCTTTGGAGTTTGGTGATGGTAAGCAATAGGTACATAGAAAAGTCAACAAGCAAATAAATTAGGCAGTTGTTGAATCCAGTAAAGACAAAAAACTGTACAAAAAAGAAAATGTAATCACAGCATATGCCTCAGCTATGAATAATTACATAGTTTTAATAAGGTAAATACAGAATGGTAATTTAATATAAATGGATACTCTAATTACTTTTTGAAAAAATGGGAGGTAAACTTATATGTGTTCGTAAAAGTGTGTGTGTAGGAAATCTGGTGGAAGAGCTAAATCTTCATCTGCTAGAGCTGGGCAGTCCATGGACAATATATGCAGGTGAAAAAGACAGGCATAGCATTAGAGACTCTTTTTTAAGAAATATAAGAGTAGGGATGCCTGGGTGACTCAGTTGGTTAAGCATCCACCTTCAGCTCAGGTCATGATCCTGGGGTCCTGGGATCAAGTCCCACAGGCTCCCCGCTCAGTGGGGAGCCTGCTTCTCCCTCTTTCCCTAGCCCTGCTGGTGCTCTCTCCTGCTACCGCTCTCTGTCAAATAAATAAATAAAATCTTTTAAAAAAAGAAATATGAGAGTAAATTTTTAAAAAAATAGCTAAGAGTTAAGTTAGAGGAAGGAACTGAAAATGGGAATGCTTGGTGTGGGCAATTGCTATTTTTAAAAATAAATCTAAAAAAAATAAATCTAGAAATAACATTTGAATTTTAAAAATCTGTATTACTTTGATAAAAGGAAAACATCTTAACTTCAAGTTTTAAAAATTTGTTAAGTAACTAGTACAAGTGGTAGTAAGTGGCACAATTATTATTCAAATTCAAATCTGTCTAAATTCTACAGGCTTTTA